GGTTAGCAAAAAATTCAATTCAGCCCAGTCTAAATTTAACTCCGAATCAACCTTGAGCCCAATATATAGGGTCTATTGTTAATCTAAGCCAAGCCAAATTCAAATAGTACAAAGCTTGGTTTCTGAAGCTTGCAAGTCTAATCAAATTTATATATAATACTTTCCATTTATATATATATATATATATATATATATATATATATATATATATATATATAATTTTTAATTTTTACATGAAACCCAGCTTTCCATCAAACTCAAGCCAAGTCGAGATCCATATGAACCTTTGAATTGAGCCAAATCTAAGTTAGTATTTATAGTTCAAATCAAGCATGAGCTCCAAATTAAAGTAAATCAAGAATTAAAGTAAAATTTACATCAGTTTTGTTTTGTAGGCATTTGAAAAGAGGGTGTAATTATTATTGACATAAAATTTCACTCCGATTCAGTTTTGCTTGCGTTTGGATGGAGCAGAGTTTTATGTCGATAATCGATGTAAAACCTTATCAGCTCTAAAGTTTTACATCGATAATCGATGTAAAAACTACATCAATTTTATCGAGATAAAACTTTACAATCTTCCACTCATCGCTATTTCAAAAAGCAACGGTCATTTTCATAGTTCAGTGTAAAACGCCATCAGTGTATTTTTACACCGATGATATTTTACACTAATTCCAAACGCAGCCTTTAATGTCAAGCCCAAACTCAAATAATCTAATATTCGACTCAGCTGGACTCCCTACTCAGTCCCAATGATATAGAAAATGTTCAAATCAGATATCAAATTAGCGCCCCTAATAGCTACAGAACCGGACCTAGTTGTGGAGTAGCATCATAACATAACAAGTTGGACAGAGGCCTTTTTTTTTTTCTAATAAAGTAAAAATAAAAAATCCAATAAATAAGTTATATTTCGGTGAACTTTGAGATAGGAATAATTTAAAACTAACAAAACCCATTTTTCAACGGATGGAAGGCCACTTTGTGCCAAAAAGTATCAAAGATTAGGACCATTCCCAGTCTATCCATCCCTAGACCCAGATAGCTGGGACCAACAGAGGGTAATGGCCATTTTTCAATTAGTGATTTCCGGAATCATTTTGAAATTCCCGATTCCAAACTCTGAATATTCCTCCAATTGAGAAAACAACTTTTGATATCTTTGAAATCGAGGAAATCAATTCCATTCCGTGGACAGTGGTCCCATAATCCATCACTGCCTTTTATTTACCTTTTATTAATGGATGCAATGTGTGGAAGTAAATGAGAATCGGTTCACATTGATGAAGTTGTTGCCGGTTTTCTTGAAAATCACTTTTTGAAGCCTAAATTCCTTAGAATCACACCCCAAAATTAAACTAGCCCGTATTAAAGAACACCCTTAAGAAATCACAATCACAGGTTGGCCTGATTTTATTTGTGAGTTAGGGCCGATTTGGGAGGGCTGAGTTGAAGATTCAGCTAAATTGGTTCAGTTGTTTTGAAGCACTCAACATGACATATTGACATGAGCCATTAAAAAGAGGCTGAAGAGACAGCCCTTCAAATGACTGGCTGAGAGCTGATTTGGGTTCCCCGGGGCCCGGGCTTGGATGTCCGTGTGAGAGTGAGACCCACCTCCAAAAGCCATAAACCGCTGTACTTCAGCCCTCCCAAACGGGCCCTTAAACAAAGGCTGAAGAAAAGCTTCAGCCCACGTGACACCAAAAGAAGTGACACAAAGAAGATCTTATGAGCATATCCCGTCCAATTGCTTGTCCCTTTGACAAAGATCTATTTAAGTAATATATCAGCTTGTTCTGATGACCTTAATCATCTAATAAATAGACCTTTGTTGAAAGCTACTTGTCAAATATATCTAGCGGTCTAGAAAAACCGAAAGATACAGCTTGTTTGGTTTCTCACCAGTCATCACCTCAAATTGGGCCAATTCTTGGTCAGCGAATATTCAAATCGGGGCTCAAACTTCCACACCTTCGGAAGGGATGAGTACAGTTGTTCATTCTCATCCCTTTGAATAAATAATAGGACCCAGGTAGTGAAAGTTTCCAGCCCAAGCGCATATATAATTAAAATGTGTGGGTGTGCCCTTCCTTCTCTCTCACATGAGATTGTCAGATGGGAGTCAATGATGATGCCATGATGGGTGCCAATGGATTCCAATCCTAGGGCTCAAGATTGTCCAATCGCCCTCATTTGACTGAAAACCCTAGAAGAAGCTAATAGAAGCAACCTCTGTAGACTGTAATAGAATTCTTTAATGGATTTAAATAATAAAATGTTGATTGTGCGTGCCCCTTTCAGTCTGATTGATATCACAAAATAATGGCCAATTGATGGATGGATTTCTAGATAACATGGTTGTTGGTCGGTTGCTTTCGCCAACTGGTAATATGCCCTTAAATCCCTATGATGAATGAAATCCATGGATTCATATGGGTTAATGGGTCAACATGGACACATGGTATATATTAAAAAAGAAAAAAAGGACAGCATAATACCTCGGAAAACAACATCAGCCCAAGTTCCTACACAGCTCCAAGACTTCAAGATGGATATCTACTAAGTCAAATATTATATTCCAGTTCATCTAAACTTTGTGTGTACTTTGCATTAAAAGAGTGAAAGCCATACAATGAATGCATCAATGGAACTGCATTCTTCATTCTTTCTGTATATTTATATAGGAATGAGAACTATGTGGATCTGTTTTACTTCCCCTGAAATTCTGGACTACTTTGATGTTGCATACAACTGTTTAGTCAATTGTTTGCTTTGGATTAATGTTATCTGTGTTATAGGCAGTAAAATACTGATCAATTTCAGTTAGTTTTCCAGTAAAACTTACTTAATCTCTTCAAGAAAACGGGTCTAAAGCTGGTTTCCAAGGTTTTCCAGGATTACAAAAATGGGTCCTGGTCCGGGCTTTATTGCCATGCATTCCTTTTTACCTATATATATAGTATTTATATTTATTTATAATATTATATATATAAACGAAAACCGAAGAACCTGTTCAATTTGGAAAAAGGACCCCTAGTTACGCTGTGTTTGGATCGCCAACAAATATTTGGGCCAAGAAAAATACTTATTAAGGTAAAGGGATTACTTGTGAAAAACTATCTTTGTAAAATTTTATAATGTTTGATCACAATCCATAAACAAGTTTGGAAATCAAGGTTATGGGCTGGAGTACTTTAGACGCACTTGCGTTAAAAGAGTTCTATGAAATCAAGCCTTCCTTATTGCCTCTTTTATAGAGATTGGTTTTCCACAAAGTAGAAAGCCATGATCTCATTTTTGTCACTAGATTTTCACAAAATTTTACTTTCCTTTTATCCTTACCAACAACCGAAGTAACTGTTTTCATCCAACCAAAGATTACTGTATAGGTCCACTCTTTTTTATACTTGAAAGTTTCTTACACCATTTCCTGTTCCTTGCCGCTAGACCATGGCAAGGACAAAGCCTCATACCCAAATTCCGTGTCCCGGTTTCAAGATTGAAGCCATATATTATAACCTTTTTTTTTTTTATGTCAAACTCTATAGAAGTAGGTGCGCACGGGCAGGAATTCAACTTTAGGAGAAATTGTATTTGAAGCATGGTCTAGCAGCACTGGCACTGTGGCACACATTTGATTAATTGCCCCACTTGGGCCTATCAGCCAGGCCAGACCCTAGGTTCAAAGCCATCCTCTCTCTCTCTCTCTCTCATTTTATATACAGCCCAAGTCTATAACAACACTTAGATCAATCCAAGTTCCAATTTCAAGCTTTCGAGGTATAGCTGAATGAACATTATGTTATTCAATTTACAAGCTAAGTGACAATCCCCTTGGCTCACTGAGAACAATTGCAAAAAAGATAAAGCTTTTCGGCCTGATAAGTCAGACTAGACATTGACCCGTTTATGTCATAAAACATGAAACAATCCTAGGATGGTCCATTGGCTGGTAAGTTGAATATGCTTCTGGATGGGTTCAATAAAATCATATGCTCAGGATCTGCTGCTCGCACAGCTGCGTATCAGTTATTCCATAATCAATCACGAATGAACACGCCAACATTTCATGCACATCAAGCTTATATGCCAGTGTACAGAACATTGACATATTCACTTGATATTAGTTACGTAGCATGTTGTGAGCACTGAGCACTGAGCAGCAACAGATCCGGGAATGTGAACAGATACGTGAGACAATTAGCTTTGATTTTTTTTTTTGGCTTTTGTTTATAGGAATAGACATGGAAGACAGAGTGTGCAGCTTGAGATAACCAAGGTTCAAGGTAATGATAATCGAGAGTTCCAAGTTCCAAACAAATGGAACTCCCTTTTTGGGGGTAATTTGAGTTCAGTCCACAGAATTTATAATGCAATGGAACGGTTCAGGTCAATGTCAGGGGGAGGATTCCCAAGGGGGTGGGGATAAATACATTTAGGAAATTAATAAATGAATTCTGAGGTGGACCATAAAAAGGCCTTTTATTATTATGTTTTCATTTTGACCTCTTATCAATTGAAATAACAGGTCATAAATTATTTTATAAAGCAATCAAAATCACTAAAAATCTGTTTGGATCACAATTGAAATTCGAATCAGAATCAGAATCGAAATGGTCTATTTCTATAGTCTGTTTGGTTGAAACAGAAATGAGAATGAAAATTGGAATAAGCAAGAATGGAATTTCATTCCCAAGGGAGGGGTAGGGAATGGTCATTCCCTCAAATAGGGGAATGTCTCCTAAGAACATCAGTNCCCCCAAACAGTACACATCATACGGTGAGGTGGAGATGATGGACATTTTTTTGGAATAGAGCAAGAAACATAAGTGTTATGATACGATAAATTCCACTATCATACTAGAAGAACTTATACCCAATCAACAGGTGGTATTCATCAAAATTCATGGCGATGATTTAATTGGTCAATTGGTCAAAACTGTACAATTAGACAAGCCCAATAGCCCATTTGGAAAAAAACTTGAAATTTTGCATCAGGAAAAAAACTTTTAAAATAAATGTCATCTCAAAGTGGGTTTGGAGAAGAGGCACTCAAGATATGTCATCATCTGCCGCCAATGCTACAGTACCCAAATGAGACTCGGAGTACAGCTACTTGAATCAAAAAGCTCAAAAACTCGTTGAATGCTTGAATTACACTTGCAAAGTAAAAACACTGAGAAGAAAACAAAATTGCATAATACTTACAAACCCCAGAAACAATAAGAAACTAGAGCTAATAGTCATCGCAAATACATGTAATGCCCTCGAAGATCGCTTGGATCGACATAGAACAAAATCTTTCATGAGGCTCTTGATAGGGTTTCTTGAGAGGTGTTGTAATTGAAGCTGTTCAAAGCCTGATTGGTAAACAAGTGGGCATTGAAAACAAAACTTCCATCTCAGAAACTTCTTTCTAGAACAACTTCAAGTATTTACTGAAACAACTTTCTCAATCTTTCAGCAGAATTGGCTGCTCTCTTATTGGTAGGCTCCAGAACTAGTGCATATTTGAAATCTGTAAAGAACAAACATATCATCATATGAATTTAATCATTTAATTAGATAGTCAGAGGGAAACACTCAAGAAGCATTTGCTCCATGCAGACAGCCCTTTGGAATCCAGTTCTTCCTATATAATGGATCTACTATAGATACCTAGAATTCTACAAATTATCATGCATTTACTTCGTACATTATTATCCTCCTACTGTTTAATACCAAACATATAATGCATCTATGCGTGAGAACCTATGCATAGCATCAAATAGTAGAACAAGTTTTAAGATAGTAGACTTACCTTCAATGGCCTCCTTATAATAACCAAGCATCTCCCGTGCTGTTCCTCTTCGTAAATATGCCTTTACATTCTAAACAAACAAAAATAAGTAGATTAGCAAAGCAAAAGTAAATGTCAAAATGTAGTAGAGTTCCAATTTTAAAGAAAAGAAAACTTCTTGAAGACTAACATGATATTTCTTTTTCTTATTAACATGAGTTTTTCTTTTTTTTTTTTTTAATTTCAACAATGAAACCCAAGTATTTTTCTGTACATACCTAGATCAAGTATTATTAAAGCCCCATAATTTAGTATTATATACACAAGGCACCAAGCACCTTAGTTTCAGAAAACCGACTTCCAGTAACTGAGATTTACAAGACACCTCAAAACTAACAGATCTTGCTGTGCCCACAATGGCACACAACTTGCAGAATTGTAAAGATTCTATAAAACCTTTAGTTTCATAATATAGACTTGAAACCAACAGATCCTTCTTTGTGCACACTAGGCACAAAATGGATAATCAATAGGCTTCAATTTGAAGCTCAACAAAAAAACCTCAGCACTCAGCATTCCTAAACATGGTATCACAAGAGGGGGAAAAACTCGTATCCTAAACTTTCAATGTTGGAATAGTGGACAACTGTGGAGACCTGCATATTTTGCACAAAGTACCACATATCAAGGTATTACAGCATCTAAAAGTGTTCTTTTTGATAGCATGCTCATCTTTATGATGCAAACGAATTTATTTAAAACTTTTTAAAATCCCTTATTTTAAACTACCAATATGAAATTAACAAATGGTAGAGTTCAAGTAATGTTAAAAAAGAGGGTAATGTGGGATTATAAAATGTTTAAGGGACATTTTTTGTCTAAGAAATATCATTTACTTCCTTGAACCATGTTTGGAGGTAGCATGACTGCTGAAGCTTACAGGGACATTTTCACCCTTCAGTGCTAGCATTCAGAGGTATTACCAAACTAGACTCAAATCAGTGGAAAGCAACTTTTTCCATGATTAGAGGTCAAATAGATGCTACAAAACACCACCTAAGTTTGATTTCCTGGCTCCCATGTTCAGTCCCTCTAGATAGCATCTACAAATGCATCATATGATACAACAAAATAATCACGTAATTAGTACCATACTAGTTTTATAATGACAATGAATATAAGGCCAGCATGATTGCAAAGACAAGTCCTATATCATACGGATTTGCAAGTTTCAATCCACTAACATATTTGTGAACTAAGAAGCCCAAAAACGGATATGGGTATGGACATGGATTCAGATCTGGGAAACAGGATGACACCCATTTCTTGAGAACCAGAACACAATTACAGATATCATTTCCAATACTTATATCTTGCAAAAACATGTAAAAAAACTTGCAGTACATGATTTTATAAAAAGCAGAGGATCCCTCAAAACAGAGAAAGCTTTAGAAAAAGTAGAGCTGTTCCCATCTTTATGTACTGTTTGTATAATGAAATCTGTGTCAAAATAATGCTTTGCCAAAGATTACAGAAACGCCGGCACTTAAAAGTTCAAATCTATAGACTCCAAAAGATTAGAAATCTTTCAATGTTGGCAATAACCACTTCTCTTGGGACTCAACTGTTGAAAACTCTGTTGTTTCACTCATGCCAGATACCCCAACATAGTGAAAGAGGAGCCAACTTGCACAAGATAACTCCCCCTTGTGCTGAGTCCAGCTCATGGCCAAGAAGATATAAGTATATTAGATCCTTCGGGATTACCTACTGTCTCTTAAAAAGCTTTAGCATATGCACCCAGACGGTAGATTATTTACTGATTTTGATTCCAAATTAACGAAGTTCTAAATTCCTTATCCAAACAAACAATGCAACCACCAGATTATTTACTGACTTCTGATTCCAAATTAACATAGTTCTAAATTCCTTGGCTAGGAATTGGGAACTGAACTAATTATTTGGAGAAGACTCAGGTACTAAGGTTCTGGAACTAGAGTAGGAACGGGAGATTTGGCTGTGGTTTGTGGGGGATCTATAGAGGAACTCCAGAGCAAAGAGGATGTAGGAACAAATCAAGCACAAACACAGGGTGTCTGTAATTGGGGTTTGGATCTCCAAAATGAGCTTAACTTAGGTTCGGTTGAGGAACAGATCCTTTCAGCTGTACAGGTTGCCTCTGGGAAGGAAGGTTTTCACCTGGCTCAGGGAGCCTCTTCCCCACTTTTTTCCTCTCCTTGTCTAGGGATGGCAATTTTCCCCATCCCCGGCGGGGACCCGACTACCCCGACTCGATGGGGTCAGGGATGGGGATTGAGGTCTGCGCCCCGCCCCCAACCTCGATTATGTATATATATATATCAGAACATATTTAAAAATTATTTATAATTTAAAATTTTTATTTATTTTTCAAATAAATATTATTATCTAAAAAAAAACGAGGATTCAGGTTCCCACGGGAAACCCATCCCCATCGGGGATCGGGGATGGAGGACAAATTTTATCCCTGGCAAGGATCGAGGACAGGGATGGGGGTTAACTTCATAATCGGGGTCGGGGACGGGGAATATGATCCCCACCCCGAACTGTTAGTGTCCGGTCTGCCTGTTAGACTGATAAGAGTCAAGGAAGAGAAAGAGAAGAGAGGAGAGAGAGAGAAAGGAGAAGAGCAGAGGAGAAACAAGGAGAAAGGATTCTAGTTCGAATGAGAGAAAAAGTTCACTCTCCCATTCGGCCAGATGTATTTTATATTACTAAAATAATGTGGAAAAGTCACATATGCCCCTACTTAAGTTAGGGACATTAAATCTAACATAAACTTACACATCAGCACCTAAACACAAGCACAAAAACAAAATTACCCCTACATACTCGACACTAACACTCCCCCTCAAGCTGGAGAGTATATATCATATAATCCCAACTTGTTACATATGTAGTCCACTCTCCCTCGACTCAACCCTTTAGTAAACAAATCTGCCCACTAGTTCCCTGTGTTGACATATGCAGTGTCTATCACTCCACTCAACACCTTCTCTCTAACAAAGTGACAGTCAACCTCTATGTGTTTGAGTAGAGAAAATGTGAACTGCAGCTTGATTGTCACAGTAGAGCTTCATTGGAGTATCAACAGTGTATCCCATCTCCTGTAGAAGGTTCCTTAGCCACACTAATTCACAAGTAGTATGTGCCATATCTCTATATTCTGCCTATGCACTGTTTCTTGCCACAACTGTCTGCTTCTTGCTTTTCCATGTCACCAGATTACCCCCAAGAAAAGTGCAATAGCCTGTGGTAATCTCCTATCAGATACAGAACCAGCCCAATCTGAAGGGATAAGAGATCCATCATATGGATGGCCGGACCCTGCAGGAAGGTTGGGCGAAATTTCAAAAATTTCTCTCCCATGTGGGAATCACATTCCCTATTTTAGAAAACCGCATTTTCAAGGATCAATCTTGAAACCAAACTGGACCAGATCTGAAACCAAAAGGTAGGAGGGGGATATACCTGATATGGAGTAACAGTAACTCCCAACAAAGGTGTTCACGCCCAAGGAGAAAACCAAAGACTGCTCCCACTGAAAATGACACAGTGTGAGATGGAGCATAATCAATAGGATGGCTCTTCAGCAAGAATGTGATGGAGGGCTGGTGAGCACGACTTCAAATTACCTTTTCTACCAAAAGGTAATATCAAGAACCTTTCTTGATCACTCCCACAGGTGGAGATCGAACTGACA